TTTTCACTGCTCCCAAGTCAACGAGACCCCAACAGTAAACCATGGGGGGAGTTTTTGGGTCAGTGGCTGTGAATAATATGGAATGCACAGGAAGTGTTGGGCTTCCACAAATGCCACACATACTACACAGTCAAAGATGCCTGCCAAAGACTCTCACAACCCAAATTTAGTTGGAACAACAAGATCAATGTCTAAATTGTCTTGAGAACACAGCATAACCTACTGTCTTGCTGAGCAGTCTCAAAGAACTTCATACTTGATCTCAAGACATAATGGAAAACGCACCGTTATGCCAGCAGGCCCAAAGAATGAGTCTCTTTATCTTCATGTTCTCAAATGCCATGCATCTCTTCCTTTTAGTTCATCCTACAGAGTATGAATCATATTTCAACACTTTGTAAAATGGATTCTAATGGTGGATCCTCTGTAGCTCGTATCTGCCGTATCTGTCTTTTCTATTCACCATTGACTGTAAAGCTTCACATTTGAACACATTTCATGCTTGTAGTCAAATTCATGCTTGTAGTCAGATTTTCAGCTTGTATATGTAATATTAGCATAAAATGATAGTGAAGCTTTGCATCTGTCGGAAGTCATACAGATCTGAAAATGGTAGCAGCTGTAAAGATTCTTTGAAAAGACTTTGAAAATAAGATTGACTTTGGAACAAAAGGTAATTCTTTTTTGAACTTGTAATGTAGTTCCTGTCACATCTGACTTGCAGACTAGAACCAAGCTGAATGTACAGTGGCAATAAATATGTATTCAGTCATCATTGCTTGGAAATTATTCAGTGATTCTGCATTTTCAGGAACTAATCAGGATATGTATTAGTATTTGAATTAGAAATTTAACTTGTTTACAAGGAGAAACTTGTCCAACAATTGCTGAAGGGCTAAATCAAGAAAATAAAACTAACATCCAAATCCTAAATCTACAGATTCCAATTAACTAGTATCATCTAAGCACAACAGCTAGGTTTAGTAACTTCATACATTTTTGGGTTATGCCATGTCTCCCAAATTTTGCCAGTGCTATTGCATAGAAAAGAAAATTGATATGTGTCATTGGAACAATACTTTGAACATAACTGACAAGTTTGGGATATAATTGAGGTCAACAATAGTGCTAAATAGTTCCACCATTTTGAATTTTGTTAAAAGCATACCTTTCCCTACATAGTTCATCAAATCCTCTCCAAATGTGTGAGATAATCTTGAGACCTTGCTGGTCCAAAAATTTACTCAACATTTCTTGGTAAATCAAACTATTTGGTAGTAATACATCAACTAATTCACCACCGTCATTCAGGGCCCTCTTTCAGCCCCTGCAACAATGGAGGGTTCAGCCACAAAGCAGAATATGCAGTGTGTCTCACTGGGGGAAGTACCACCAGCCTCTCACTGTGGAATATATCATAGGCGTCTTTGTCTAAAGTCATGGCTTTCTGAGGAATTATGTTACAAGCAGAATGGCAGGTAAAGACAATGGGAGAAAAAGTTGTGCCTGGAAAACTTGGCAGCTGGTCCCACATTTCCAGCATTTCTGCACCTTCCAGCCAGTATTTTGCACTCTTTTGTTAGGTTAGGGTTACTGTAAAACATCCCCAACAAACTGTGGCATTCCAGAGTAACTAATTTTGATCCTGTAATCCTAGTTGGAATGTCCAGCGGCAGGCACAACGGAACTTGGCCTCAAGCGTTCAGTTTCCCAGGCTCTCTGATATCCGAGGAACCTGATACTTTCCTCAAAATTGAGAGACCAGTGAGCATCTGGAGAAATAGTTTTAATGCGTTCTGGGTTTCCCAGGCTTATGGAGATGCAGTTTTCATAGCAAAGGTAACAGAAGACCTGTGGAAAACCACCTGAGACCTTAACTAGAGGTGATCCAGCCCACCCAAACCAAATTGTTGCAAATTATTTTCCCTTCATTTTTTTTTTTTGCTTTAAATTCCTCTAGATTCTGAATGCTCTGACTTAAATATGGGAACTGATTAGCTCGTAATATTTCACACATATTTCATATTTTTCATATTTAGTGATTATATAATTTCTTTAGGCCATGACTTTACATTTGAGAGTATCAAAGTTATTAAATAACTGGAGCAATAAAGTTATTGCATGAGTTATAGTCAGATTGCTCATTTTGTCAAAACATATTGAGTCCTGCTGAGGCCAACAGTGTTCCTAATGCTGAATTTGGCCAAGGATCATGGGAACAGAATGAAGCTGCAGTGTTTCTGTGGCCTGAGTTAAATCAGCAGGTCCAAATTTCACAACAACTTTCTGCTATAACAGCAGACTTCACTGCCAAATGACAGTGTTCCACGGATGTTACTCAACTACTTAGATGCTGCAGGACTCATAAAGAATTGAAGTAAAGTGACTGTGATAGTTATTTGGTAATTTATTACCAAGACAGAAATCTTTTAAATTTGTGCTGGGTGAAAAAGTATATTTATGGGTTGAATTGTGTCTCACATGTCAAACAAACAAATAAACAAACAAAGGGATAGTTCACCCAAAAATGAAAACTCACTCTCATGTCGTTCCAAACCCCGTAAGACCTTTGCTCATCTTCGGAACACAAATTGAGATATATATATTTTTTTAAATCCAAGAGCCTTCTGATTCTCCATAGACAGCAAATGTACTACCAAGGTCAAGGCACAGAAACATGGTTTCGTAGGACACTACTAAATTAGTTCATTAGTTTAAAGGGATAGTTCACCCAAAAATGAAAACTCACTCTCATGTCGTTCCAAACCCCGTAAGACCTTTGCTCATCTTCGGAACACAAACTGAGATATATATATTTTTTTAAATCCAAGAGCCTTCTGATTCTCCATAGACAGCAAATGTACTACCAAGGTCAAGGCACAGAAACATGGTTTCGTAGGACACTACTAAATTAGTTCATTAGTTTTCATTTTTGGGTGAACTATCCCTTTAACTAGAGGTGATTCAGCCCACCCAAACCATGTGCCCGTTTATCTTCTTGTGGTAATGCAAATTGTTTTGCATTTGATTCCCTTTTTTAAAATTTAAATTCCTCTATATTCTGAATGCTTTGACCAAAATATTGGAACTGATTAGCTTGGAATATTCTGTACACATTTCATATTTTTCTCACTGAGGGAATGTTGCAGTAAAATTAAAGTGATAATATCATCTCTTTAAGCCATAGCTTTACGTTTGAGAGTATCAAAGTTATTAAATACCTGGAGCAATAAAGTTATTGCATGAGTTATAGTCAGATTGCTCATTTTGTCAAAACATATTGAGTTCTGCTGAGGCCAACAGTGTTCCAAATGCTGAATTTGGCCAAGGATCATGGGAACAGAATGAAGCTGCAGTGTTTCTCTGGCCTGATCACTGAGTTAAATCAGCAGGTCCAAATTTCAGAAATTTCTGCTATAACAGCAGACTTCACTGCCAAATGACTGTGTTCCTCGGATGTTTCTCAACTACTTAGATGGTGCAGGACTCACTATATATATATAGTGACTGTGATATATTCTTTGTGAGTTATTTGGTTATTTATTACCAAGACATAAATATTTTAAATTTGTGCTGGGTGAAAAGGTATGTTTATGATTTGAATTGTGTCTCATATGTAAAACAAATAAACAAACAAATAATTTTACAGTATAAACCTTGTTTAACCCATAAGATTGAAACTAGATGCAAAGCTTGTCAGTTGGTGATCGTTGGGTAGTTGCTTTGTGGTTGCCAGTGTGTTGCTAAGCAGTTGGTAGAACATTCCAGATGGTTGCTAGAGCATTGCCAGGTGGCTGTTAAGTTGTTGCTTTGGTGTTATAAAGTGGTTGTCAATGCATTGCTAGGCTGTTACTGGAGCATTTTTGGCTCATTGATAAGTGGTTGGTTGAGTGTTCTGGGTGGTTGTTCTGTTGTTGCTAAGGTGTTGCTAAGCAGCTGCTAGACAGTTGCAGGAGTGTTCTTGGTGGTTGCTATGTTATTTTGGTTTGTTGATAGGTTGGTTAGATGTTCTGACAGGTTGACAGGGCGTTGTTAAATGATTGCTCTGTGGTTTCCAGGGTGTTGCTAACCAGTTTCTAGAGCATTGCTAAGGTGGTTGATACGGTGTTTCTTTGGTGTTCTAAGTGGTTGCCAGTGCATTCCTAGGCTGTTACTAGAGCATTTAGGCTCATTGGTAAGTGGTTGAGGAGTCATTAGCCCCTTTCACACAGTAATACCAGTAAATTGCCGCAAAATTACCAGAACGGCTTTACCGGTAAATACAAAAATGCGCTGTTCACACAGGCAACAATGTTCCATCTTTTCTGGTAAAGCACCATTTACACATCCGTTTCAAAATACTGGTAAATTCTTTGACATCATTAATTAGAATTAGGGATGCACTGAATGTTCGGAAACCAAAATTATTCTCTTGTTGCTAAGGTGTTGCTAAGCAGATGCTAGAGTGTTCTAGGTGGTTGCTGGGGCATTTATAGGTGGTTCCTAGGTATAGGTGGCTGGTTAGGTGTTCTGGGAGGTTACCTGGCCTTTTTTTGTAATGATTGCTTGCTGGTTGTCAGGGTGTTGCTAGGTAGTTGATGGCAGTTTCCGGATTGTTGCTAGAGCATTTCCAAGTGGTTGCTTAGGTGTTGCTTTTGTGTTCTAGGTGATTTGCTAGATGGCTTTCCAGGCAGTTACTAGGAGTGTGAATCTTCACTGGTTTCACGATTCGATTAATTACGGTTATCATATCAACGATTTGATTCAATTTTATATCACGATGCGTTGCATCCTCAATTTTCAATATTACTGCACTTGGCTACATTTTCATATAAATTTTACATCAAATTTATTTTGTGCATTTTTATTAGATTATATATATATACTTTTTTTTAAATAATTACAAATTAATGATAAATAAAAATTAATTGTTAAGAATTTAACCAACTAAATGTAGCTTGAAAACATTCAAGCAAATATAAAGTAATAAAGGGGGAAAAAGACAATTACAAGTGATAAACAAGAAGTACTTTCAGTATCTGAGAGTGCTTTAAGTATCTGAAAGTTTACAGACAATCATAGTTGTGGGTTTTTCTTTTTTCCTCAGCATTATTGCTATTTGATTATTGCATATCTAATACGTACTGCATTCCAAACAGCTTAAATTAAAGCATATCTTAGTAAAACACTGAAATAACTCCGGGTAGAAGCACACACTGGCAAGCAATGCACACATGTTTCACAGCGCATATCCTGTGCATATCAGAATCAATTCAGAATCATTGAAGAGCGAATCCTGTGCATCGAATAATCTATATTTTCTCCCACCCCAAGCTGTTACTAGAGTCTTCTGGCTTATTGATGGTTGGTAGGGTGTTCTTTGTTAGATGGTTTCATGTGTAAGCATTTGCTACAATGTTATGACTTCTTTATAGGTGTTTGACAAGATGCTCTGGGTGGTTAATACAGTATGAATTTGTTTCTATAAAATTCTGCTTTCTAGTTATGACTTGGGTTCTTCCTTCAGTGTAAGTCTATAAGATGCCAGGAGAACATTGTTAATCTGATCACTTAGTCTTAGCATGACTTAACATGATTTGAGCAATCATTCATGCCCATAGCACAAACTGTGCAAGGTGAGTTATGTACCAAAGTTAAATATGAGTAATAATGACAGTGATGCTTGCCTTAGCAAACACCAACAATGGAGGACAGCCTGATTTGACCATGTTTGTTCTTGTTTTACCTCACATTTATGGGTTTGTGCCACTGTAAAGGTCAAGGGCTGGACGGCTGGCCTTCCCTTCTCCTCTCTTCTGGAAAAATCACACTTTACAACCAAGTGCCATTTTGAAGAAGCTCTCTTGGGAACGCTAACAGAGATTGGCACAGCTCTCTTTAGCTGCACATATGTGTGAGTGTGTGTCTGAATGTGAGGTCTAGACATGTCTGTCAGACTGCACTGGTTTCAGTGAGATGGTGTTATCTCTGCTCTCTTTGGCAGAAAATGAGAGGTTTTATTTTGCACTAAAATAAAGTAAATGCCAACAGAGCATTTTTTGCAAGTACACTCAAGAGCATTGTTAAGATGCTGCCTTAAAACTGGAACATAATTGCTACTGTAAGGTGATTGTCAATGCTTCCTTCTGCGTTGATGTTTTACAAAAGTGTTAAATTGGAAATCATACACTATTGGTCTACTAAACTTGTTATATCACCAGTAGTCGCTCATTGTCATTGTACGAAATTCCCTGCTTCACGCATGTGCGAGTCAAATTTGTTCAGACTTGTCGGGTGCATGCGCATAAAGTTCCAGCATAGCAGAGTAATACGGAGTTTCCTTGGCTTTGTTTATTCCTTTAAAGTTTGTTTTTCCCTTGTGTAGTATTGCTGTAGTAATACCGCTTTAGAGTGGGCGGGATTATTCACATGTCGTTATAGTTGTGCCGCCTCTACTGCCGTGACTCCTGAAAAACTCTTTCATTCCGTGTCGCCCCATCAAGCTTTCGCTGGATCCGCTCCTCTGCTATCAACGAGAGGAACGTCTGTACTTCCTCAACAGACAACAAAACAGCCACTTTTTGGTTGTTAAAAAAGGTGCGCTTGTTCAAAACAGTTGCATTCGTTCCTTCGCTGGCTGTGCTGATTTAAATCTAGCAGTTCTGTTGTGTTTGTGTCGCAAGTTCAGTGACGCAGGTAGTGACGATTCTCTCCGGCCAATCCGTGATCAGCAGAGTTTACACGTCACGTTTTGGTAACGGTACGGTTCGCTTGGAACCTCAACCGAGGTGGTACTGAAAAAAGTACCAGGTACCAGGTACTGTACCCAGTGGAAAACCCCCCAAAAGTGAACCGAACCGAGCCGTGCATCGAATAACCCGTACCCGTGCCGTACCATGCAGTGGAAAAGCACCATAACAGAAGAATTAGGCCAGCTGAGTTCCAACCATCCAACTGTGCACAGAATATCCCACACTCATGTAACCTCAAATCACCGTCAGTGTGAAGCATGTTTATTTATCTTAGCAGTAGCATAGCTTGAAGTATATAGACACACACACACAAGATTAATTTCAATCTTAATAAACAACAGCTTTCAAGACACTTGACGCTCCGGGGCAGCTAACAAAATTAGAAGCCTCTCCATACTAGTAAAGTGCTGTGTCTGTATCTGTGCATGGCCTTTCAAATCAAGCTAATGCTAACTGACTGTGTGTAACCAGTGTGCTGGATGTGCAGAACGAGCCCCACACTGCAACTACACTGAAAGTGAACAACAAAAACCATAACAGAAGAATTAGGCCAGCTGAGTTCCAACCATCCAACTGTGCACAGAATATCCCACACTCATGTAACCTCAAATCACCGTCAGTGTGAAGCATGTTTATTTATCTTAGCAGTAGCATAGCTCGAAGTATATAGACACACACACACAAGATTAATTTCAATCTTAATAAACAACAGCTTTCAAGACACTTGACGCTCCGGGGCAGCTAACAAAATTAGAAGCCTCTCCATACTAGTAAAGTGCTGTGTCTGTATCTGTGCATGGCCTTTCAAATCAAGCTAATGCTAACTGACTGTGTGTAACCAGTGTGCTGGATGTGCAGAACGAGCCCCACACTGCAACTACACTGAAAGTGAACAACAAAACTAAAATGCTCCCAATATGGATGTCATGATACCAATGCAAGTGAAATTGAAAGATTCTCAACACCACAGGAAAAACTAATTTGCTATTGAACAAAGTCCTTTTTTCTTTTTTTTTTGGTTAAATGTTAATGTGCATAACAAATAAAATGTAAACCGTGACATGCAGCTTTCCAGGATTTCTCAATTAAGTTTTAAATTAAATAGCTTAATTGCTTAATTGCTTTAAATTATTCAAGAGTCAAGACAAGTAAAAATTCTATTAAAAAACTTCATAAAAATCAATAAAAATGACGTGTCAAATAAAACTATTTTTATTTAAATGAAAATATTATATAAAAATTATTCTTATTATTCTTATTTATTTAAATTATTGGCAGTTTTCAATTCATGATGTAATACTGATTTAGTACTTTTTTGTTGTTACTGTGACTGAGAATAATTTAAAATCTATTAAAATTATCGTAACACTACAATAAGGGTACATGAATAATCTTGTACTAATGTACTAATGCCTAAATTAATACTTAATTCATCAAATACTAATGATTACTAAAGGTGTTAACTAATCATGAATTAATTAAGAGCTATCCTTAACTACAACTGGAGTCATATGGATTCACACATGCAGCCTTAATTACATGTTAGTACATGTTTGATAGTTAATGCATTAATTAACATTTATGGGTAAACTAAATCAAACAGCCTCTTTAAGAAAGAATAAGAAATACTCTGGCTTTGAAACAAATACATTTTTATTAATTTAAAATCATAATTTGAGCTTTTGACATCTTCAGCTTTATGACTGATCTTGTCTGTTTTGTGTTGTTCTCTTTCCCTTTAAACTGTGAGTTAATTATGATTGGGCCCCCTCAAGTAAATGCATGTCAAAATAATACATTAACAAGCCATGAGTTAATGTTAGTTTATGGGTAGTTAATAATAAATAATAATAATAATAATAAATAATCTTTAGGATTGTTCTACAAATGTTCTTCTTTTATTTTTATTTTAGTCACAGCAGGGTAAGTTTAAAGGGAGAGAGAACAACAAGGTGTCAGAATGAACAGGAACAGCAGTGACCATTATTTGTGTTCACTGGACTAGCTGAATTTAGTTTAGTTGCTCCCTCGTTTGTTTGTTTTGTTTAAATGTAGGAACACTAGGACTCTGGAAGGTTATATATATATGGACAGAATGAGTTTGCTCAGAGTGCATGGCTGAATTGAAGGTGATGTAATGGTGAACAGGAACACTAGTGAGTCTGAATACGGAAAGTGATTCATTTAAAAACTCATTGTGAAACTTGACTGAGATGTCAGTTCACGCTTGTCGTCTCACCAAGAGATCTAAATTCTGTTGAAATTATTGCAGATAAACAGTAGAAGTAGCATGGTGTTATTGTGTTTAGTGTTCATATTCTGTTATAAATTGCTCCCGTCATGATCCAAACCTGTATGACCATTATGTTTTAAATCTTTATTTTGTGAAACACAATATTGGATATATCAAATTGGCCTGAGGGTTGAGTACATGTTCAGCAAATTTTCACTTTTGGGTGAACTATTCCTTTTATTAGAGAGAATTGTATGCACTATTCATAATAAAATCTGAACAGCCATACAGGGAACTTAAAGCACATTTATAAAAAGTTTTTGTTTGGTGTGTTTTGTGCCAGCTGAGACCGGTATGCCCCGTGGTGAGCGGGCCGAACCATCGTGTCTCTGGCACTGTTTTACTGCAATAGCTGTTCTGCGTGCTGGAGATGCCCCGTCTGTCCCGGGAACAGCTCTCCTCCTGAGCGTCTCCGTCACATACCTGCGGGAGGGTCACATTCCACGCCAAGCACACAGATCTGGTTCTTAGTTGAGCATCCTTAGTTTGGATGCTTCTGAAGGTTTGTATTGATTCTGAATAATGGGAATTAATTTTAAGTTTTAGAATTAGAATTTAGAGGTTTGTTCAAATATGCAAGCATGCATGAGATTTGAGAGCAGCAGCATAAATTTAGTTTTTTTTTTCTTTCATGAATTCATAGGATTTGGAATATACAGTAGTGTGCAAGTCATGATGACTACGTATATTTTTATGGTACTTTTATGACGCTATTTGTATCTTGACAGCCCATAGTCACGGTATGCTTTCATTGGAAAAGAACAGCATGAACATTCTGCTGGACACCTCCTTTTGTTTTCTATAAAAGAAAGAAAATATTATGGATTCCTTTATTTACCAATAATTCACCATAACTTTGGTTTTCATTTTGATTATGCATATTACTCTAAAGTTGGTTTGGCCGCTGTAGCACGGCCTCTCACTAGCATGAGTAAAGTCCTCTCTAAATCCCCAGTCAACTTCCTCCAGGATATATTTTAGTCACAGTTATATGTGGGTGTGAGCAGCTCCTTATCTGAGAGCAGTATTATTGTGGGCGATTACATGCGATGTCTAA